CATTCATATTGGATCTTTAAATGCTTATCAGTGTTGGCACGATTACATGCTTCATTATGTAAGTAATGGTTTTCCACTGTGGTCCCTAATGTCTGGATATTCATTCCACATTCTTGGTTCATGTTTGGGCCGCACGCTTTCCCCCACCAAAGGCTTTATTCATCGCCTTTTAATTTCTGAGGTTGTCCTTGCTCTGTTGCTAAGGTAACATGAAGAATACTGGGAGCTGTACTGGGCTTTCAGTTATCAATTAAAAGCCAAAGACAGCAACTCGCTGAATACACTGAAAGTTGGCAATCGGATGGTTGGTGTGTGTACATTACTTTTTATTTTCCAGATGGTCGACTGGGCTGCACATGTGGATATATATTTATATATGTGTGTGCCCGTTCCCAGACGTATCCCACTTAGAAATAAAGCAGGCTTCTCCTCTCACCCCTGTGCTGTCACTCAAATCTCTAATTGGCCCTCCCGTCTCTTGAACACTGCTCTTTGAGCATGATTCCTGTTTTCTCCTCTCTGCTGTTTCCTCTCCGCCCTTTGGCTCTGTTTGCTGCCTGGCAGGCAGGAAGGCTCCGGCTCACCTATTGTACCCGACCCCGGGAACACAGCTATGGGCTAAATCAGTGCATAATGTAAAACACAGATGGCCATTGACTCACAAATGTGTTCATGGAAAATGAGAGAGTCTCCTGTGTCAAATTATGTCGAGCCCATTCTGGAGGTTTTTTTCTTTCTGCTCTCCTTATTCCCTTTGCTTCATTTCTTAGTCAAGCCACCCTCAACATCCCAGCATCCTCTGCTTTCTCTCCTGCTACTTCAACTCTCCCAAACTCCCCATTTCCTCGCATGCTTTAAACACACATACTCCTCTTGTACTTTCTCTCCATCCAGGCCTCCTCCTGTCGCCCCAGGCTCTTAGTTAGGCTCAATTAGCATTAAGTTGAGATGTGTTTAATGGTTAATGTGGCTTCTACATGCAACACCATTCCCTCCCCTTCCCGCAGATTCATCTATCCACACATTAAGAACAGCGGCTTCACCTACCTGCTCGCCTTGACTGTCTGTCACCTCTCCTACCTGCAGGGGATGTAGACCGCATGCCAAAACCAGCTTGTACATCCCCCCCAATTTCTCTTTCTCTCTGGGGCGCTAGATATAGAGTGAGTGGGAAGGAGCTGTGGAAAGTCACAGAGGAGGATAGGCTGAAGTAGTGTCATATAATAAGAAACAGGTGAGATAGACGGAGATAGGGGAGATGAGAGATGCAGTATGTGAGCAGAGGAAGTGAGAAAGACAATGTGATAGATCTGACAGGGACTGGGCGAGATTGAATACAGTGGAAGAGATGAGGGATGGGGGGTGAGAGCTTGAAGGAGAGGAAATGCTGCCAGTACCTGTTATTCTGCTCTCTTCTGGGTGGAGAAGAGAAGGCTTTCCATTGCTATGCCACATCACATGGCAGCCAGAGAGCATGCTGGAGTAGATGGGAGTGTATGTGAAATTGTAATCACCTCTCTCCGTTTGTAATTTCAGGAGCCCCTCAACCAGAATCAAAAGCACAGCCAGCACTTTCAAGAGCGGTCCATTTGGCAGGTTACTGCTCCGCCCGCTGTTGAAGTATTTAAACTATCTCACAACCAGAGTACAGTGCAATACAGATATGTGCATGTCAATTAGGGCTGGGCAATATATTGATAGTATATCGATACCATGATATGAGACTAGATATCTCCTTAGATTTTTTATATCGTATTGTAACAGGAGAGTGAAGTACTTTTTAATTATGAATCTTTACCCACATTTGCCCAATATACTAATGATTATTCATCAAAACCACAAATAGTGAACACTACAATACTACTATATTTATATTGATTTATTTGATTAAAACAAATTGTATATAATTCATACCCCCCAGCCCTAATGTGCGTATGTGAGCATTATATTGCATAAATGTTTAATACAATATATGAAGTGACCTATTTTTTTGCAGATTAAACCTTCATTTTGCACAAAGTGGTTACAACCACATTACTGGCGTGTGTGCCAATAGGGGTGCTGTAGAGCAATACTTGAATTAGCTTGGATGGTTTGGATTTTGATCTCTACCAAAGCACTTATCAAGCCTGGATTGACAGCTCCAATGTTGATTTAAAACCCTTATGTCAACTTAAAATGGTAGTGATTCATAATGGCAGAAAGTTGGTGGTGTTTTATTCCCGCTCTACATTCTAGCTACTTGAATTTGAGCACTTGGTGCCTTTCTCTGATTTGTTCAACTTTAACCTGACCTTTTATTTATTTTTGGACTGCTGTTCAAAACTATTTAAAGAGTCACCTCAGTTTCTAGGAAATCGTGTTGGATATATCAAGAAAACAAATCACACATTATTTGTTAAGCTAGCAGTCTACTGGATGTGGCCTCCTCTGTTTTAGGCAAAGCTATTGTATTGTCTTATTTGTATGGTGTTTTTGCTTAGTTAATTTCCACAATTTTAACGAAAAAATGAATATGTGTGGTGGCTATGTGCTGTTAAAGGTAGCACTATATCATTAAAAGCCGCTATACATAATGCATCTTTCAAAATATTCATACTGTTTCAGAGAAGGAAACATTATTCAACATGCTTGACAGGCCGGGTACAATGCAAAGCTCCCCAGTCTCTGTGGCAGACACTGTAAAGCAGAATCTAGCAGAATAGACATACAAATAAAACGGATCTTATTTAAATTTGGATGACTGCTTAAAGGTGGGGTAGGTCATTCACTTCAGATACACTTTTTGTTATATTCCATGGAATGCTCTTAACATCCCGATAGCAATGAATACATGAGATGCTTTGACAATAAATACATACAAAAATTCATCACTGGAAGCCGTAGTGCTGTAAAAAGCACGACCAATGATTTTAGCCGGCCCGGCTAAAATAACTGGATGGCCTACCTGCCTCTCAGCCTTCCATCTCGTGCACAAACGTATCTCGTGCCCTCATTGGTCATGTGCGCGTTTGTGTGTTGGAGGAGGGGCTCTGTAAGGAAGTCTGAAGGAAGGGGCAGATTTTTTCCGGCTGCGTAGTTTCAAATTCTAGCGCACTCGAGCTGGTTTCTCCATTCTTACCTACCCTACCTTTAAGAGAATTAAATAAATAAATACAAAATCTTCCCAGACATCAAAAGTTCCTTTTTTCTCGTTATGTGAAGTAACACTTTTGAAGCAAAGGCTGGTCAGTATAGGCATGTCCAGCCATGCAGTGAGGTGGTTTGTAAACTACCTCTCTGAAAGGTCCCAATGTGTTCAGTTTGATGGGCTGTCTTCTGAGTGGCTAAACATCACTAATGGTGTACCACAAGGTTCAGTTTTAGGTCCGCTATTATTCTCTATCTATATTAATAGTTTAGGTGAACATGTCGAAGGAGCAACCTTACATTTTTATGCGGACGATACCGTTATGTACTGTGCAGGTCCCTCGATTAACGAGGCTGTTATTAAATTACAGGCTGTTTTTAACATTATTCAGGCTCAGCTCTCTGAGCTTAAGCTTCTTTTAAATGTGGATAAAACCAAGGTAATGCACTTTTCGAAAGCTAAAGCTAAAAATACACCAGAGACTACTTTGGATATTGTAACTACGTAAGGAATACAACTTGAAGTGGTTACCTGTTACAAATGCTTGGGTATCTGGCTTGATGACTGTCTCACTTTTAAACTTCATGTCAATAACCTGCTTAAAAAGCTGAGGGTTAGGCTAGGTTTCTTTTACAGAAATAAGTCCTGTTTCTCGCTTGAAGCCAGGAAAAGGCTAGTCACTGTGACCTTTTTACCTGTGCTGGACTATGGTGATTTGTTATATATGAATGCACCTGCCAATTACCTGAGAAAGTTAGATGCTGCGTATCACAGTGCACTGAGATTTTTGACAAATTGTAAAGCACTTACGCATCACTGTATCCTGTATACCAAAGCAGTTATGCCATCACTTACTGTACGGAGGCTCAGTCACTGGTACTTTTTCATTTACAAAGCCATGTTGGATAAACTACCATCTTATATGCTCCCTGATCTCTCTGCGAATTGAAAGTACTTATTGCCTGAGATCGCATGCTGTGGTTTTATTAAATGTGCCAAGTGCTAGGACTGTCTTAGGGAAGAAAGCTTTTAGATGTGCAGCTCCACTAACATGGAACAGTCTGCAAAAAGAATGGAAAGTTACCAATCTAGTACCACTACATGTTTTTAAAGCTCGGTTGGATGCTACAAAATCAGATGCTGTTGGTACCTGTACATGTGGTTAAATGTGTAAATTGTAATCCCTGTACATTTTGCTGTATGATGTCCTTTTGTTGTTCTGTTGTTGATGTTTTTATGTCTTCTTGTGGAACCTACTGCTGCAGGTCTCCCTTGAAAAAGAGATCATTGATCTCAATGGGATTTTACCTGGATAAATAAAGGTTTTGAATTGAATTGAACACTGCCTTACTCTTGTTGTCAACATTTTTAAAGGACAAGGTGAATACATGGTGTGGTGTGGCTTAACACAACATACCAGATTAATAACAGAGTTTCTGCTCAGCTTGAGATTGACATATGCGTCTTCTTTTTATTTTAAAAGATGAATACTTTATTGATCCTTTCTGGAAAATGTCACACAGCAGCCGACGAAATCAGTCAGGTGGAAGGTGTCACATGACTGCACTACGACCCATGAGTGAAACAACGAGGGTGAGCAGTATTTCATTAGACAATGCATTGCACTGCAGTCCTGACATCTCATCGTCTGACCAATATGTGGAAGTGGTATTCCACCAACAATAACCCCCAGGCTTTAATAATACATGTTCATACATAAGGATATCTAAAATATAACAACGGAGAGACAGCTAGCTAAAAAATAAAGGGCACTCATACGACTGCTGCACAAAGCTGATTCAAAACCAAAATATAAGCAGTATAACAGATGATGGAAGGTTTTTAAATGTTATTTTTGTGTGTTTCTCAGCCAGGATATGTGAAGCTCTCTAAGCCGGTGGCCCTGTGGACCCAGCAGGACGTGTGCAAATGGCTGAAGAAACACTGTCCCAATCAGCACCAGATCTACAGCGACTCCTTCAAACAGCACGATATCACAGGTACTGTTTCACACTTTCACTGACCTGTATGGCGTCTCTTATGGAGGTCGTCCAAAAATAATTTATTCTGCAGTTTAACTGTAGACAACAACGCAAGGTTTGTTCTAGCTGTTGCTAGGTGATTAGTGTTTAATGATTATACTTATATTGTTGGAAAATATATGACAAACAAATCAACAACCATTTATGATGAGGGTTGAACCTCTATTTTTATCATATGCAGTTATTAGCTCCTTTTAGTGCACAACTGAAGCATTTAAAGGTTTTCTATTATGCTATTTTTAGGCATATATTACTATATAAAAAAACATGTTTATTATGTGCCAGATCTCATCCATAACATCCAGGTGCGCTCAGCTCCCACTGTCTGCTCCTGCAACTTGCTCCTGTGGGTATTGTCCACAGTATCTGACCATTGCATGTATCATATATGTGTAATGTGTGTATATGTAAAGCGCTTTGAGTCATTGATAAAGCGCTATAATAAATGTAAGGAATTATTATTAAATTATTATTGTCTGCCGCCTGCAGCCGTGCCACCCGGCCTCCAGTCTGTCCGTCCCCACCCGCTCACTGTCGGCGTCACCCCCGACAACCGTTTGCCACTTCAATCATTTCCCTAACGAGGCTCCTCAAGGTCACCCCGGCGCTAACGACACTCCGGTCCGCATGGTAACAGACGAACGTTAATTGCCTCGCACTCGGAGCAAGACCGATCACATTAATATGTTTATTTGTCGGTTTGGAGGACCTCCTCGACTCGCTGGCTGGCTGGCAGGATGAATTGCTCGGCGGTCACGATGAGCAGCGTAATGACTTCTGCTATCATTTTCCTTGGTGATGCATTTTGACTTGTATACGGTTGCATGGAGGGTTTTGAGATTTAGCGTCCCCTGTTAAATGGTCTGAAAATATGGATCTTACTGCTTTTCAGTTCAACTTGCAGATATATCTCATCAGGTCCAGGAGATAACCCACAGTTCATTGCACACTTAGTGAACCGCTGTTACATTTTCAATCTATCTTCAAGTGGGATCCTTTTGGAAAACTTTTCTCTCTTATTCATGGTACAGTAGAACAATTGCTGTCATGACTTAGTACTTTAAGTTTTTTATTTAATAATTTGGGTCTTATGCAATACTAATTATTCACAGTAATAATTCAGAATAGATACATGCACATACTATACTGTACATCAGGGGTGCCCAACCTTTTTTGAACCGAGAGCTACTTTTAAAGTTGCCAGTCTGCCGAGATCTACCAGTCCAAATAGAGAGGCGTAGCCATTACAGACAGCCTACTACCAGGTAAATACACACTTCTACTTGTTTAAAACTGACCTTTGTACGATGAATACTTCATAAAATACTGCAGATCCTTTATCTTACCTCTTTCTAATCTACACACATACAAGTATTTAACTGAAGCTACACAACAGTTTTGTTGATACAGAGTTGGAGTTTATTCACACGTCACATATTACAGTGGGTAATGTTTTCAAGAAACATTGAACAGTGCTGCCACATATGACACAGGGAAAAAAGAAAAGACTCTGAACCCTTTCTTTGCCATTATATAAAAATAGTGTTGCTACAAAAGTATAAATTAGGCTTACTAATAAGACAACTCAGATCTGAAGCTACACAGGAATCTGCTGCCAAAGTGCAATAAAAAAAGACAAAATTAATAGAATCAAACCCTTTTTTTGTTGCATTTTAGTAGATTATAAAAATAAATGCCTTTTTTTAAAATAGGATGCAAGCAACACTAGTTTCTTAACCTGAATTGATAGACTATAATCAATTTAAGTTTGCATTCTTATACCATTTTGTACAATAATTATAATGAATAAGTTCAAAAAACTAAAGCTTACAAATGATTAATAATGGTATCTAACTTGAGTTCTCATTCATAACACGCCGTTCGATGTCTCACTATGGGATGCGCCTCATCGCGGAGCAAACAGAAGCATCAATCTCATTACGCCAATCCTGATTGGCTGGTGATCTTGACGTCAGCGTCAGGGAATTCACCCCCTATAAGTAGCTTGCGCCACGACGCATGCGTCATTCAAACACCTCTTCTCGCTTCAGAGCACATCTCTATAGTAGCCGGACAAGCTTAACGGTCCACAGACTGAACCCAAATAACCATTTCGGTCGACGGGCGCTCGCCGGCTACTCCTTCTGCTTCGCAGGAAGACGGTAATACTAACGCCAGTTAGTATTGAAATCGACCTCGCCGTTCTCTTTCCCCGGAAAGTAAGGTAGGTCTGATTTTTTTCAAGCTAGCGTTAGCTCGCTCCCTCACTATCGACACCACGGTAGCGAGGAAGCTCTTTATTTTCTCTTCCCCACGGAGGAGGAAAGGATTAAAGGAGCATACTGTCACACCAGTCAGTATTCTCCGGGAATAAAAGACCCACACCGTCCTTTTCTCCGGATTAAGGACAGGGTGGTAACACCTTTTTTTCTCCCAACCTATCTGTTGAGAGCGGGTCCTCTCCACGCCACGAGGCGAACAAGATGGACGCCTCTCTCCCTCACACCAGAGGAGTCAGGGACTCAGTGGCTCGACTCTGTGGCTGCGGGTTGAAGATCTCGGGCACAGACACACACCAGGTCTGCTCGGGCTGGAACACGCCCGAGGCACTATCGACAACCCCGGCTCGTGCGGACATTGTGTCCGCTTCACCGTGAAGAGACTCCGCCGACGGCTAGCACGCCAAGCTAGCCTGTCGGAGCAGGACCCTCCCATGTCCACTGTACCTGCCTGCCGGCCGGCAGTCAAGACACGGAGGCGTCCGCCGCAGAGAGTGAACCCCTCTCCGTGTCGGTCTGGGGCTCATTATCTGCGATGGCTGCAGAACCGGAATCCCGCGCCCTGGCAGGCCGGGACCCGGTGACGGCAAGACACGCGGGAACGGGACCCCACGCTTTACCGAGCTGGGGCTCCCGGTTAGACCTCACCATGGGTCTCACCCGCGGAGGATGTCCTCGAGCTGGACTACGATGAGGACGAAGAGGACGCCTCGGTGTTCCTCCTGTCCGAGTCGGATGAACATGAAGAGGACATCTTCATGTCATCGGCTCAGGCTGCAAAGCCTGGAGCGAGGGCTGCTCTCCCGGGCGATAGCACACCAGCTTCGCCCTGTCTGAGCATGGACCTGCAGGCCGTGTGTAAACGCGCCGCGGCCAGACTCGACATCCCGTGGCCTGAAATGGCCAAGGAGACCTCCGAGTCCCGCTACGAAGGGAAACATTTTCCCCAAGCAGCGCAGACAAAGTGGCAACTCCTTCCGGTCTTCCCGGAGATGTTGGATGAGGTGTCGGTCTTGTGGAGAGACCGGCCCTTCAGCAACAAGGTCCCAATCCAGGGTGCCTCCTCCCTAGACTGTGACGGAATGGAGAAGCTCGGCCTGCTCCACATTCCACCCATGGAACCGCTGGTAGCGGCCCACCTCCTACCGAGGATGGGCCCGTCACCAAGCAGGAACCCTACGCTGCCGGCAAAGTCGGACCGATTTCAGTCGACAATGACTGAACGGTCCTACAAAGCCGCAGCGTTGTCCGCCAGGGCCCTGAATGTGTCCTCGCTGCTAACCGCTTACCAAGCGGAGCTCTGCGAGGACCTGTCGGGTAACCCGGGGGCAGCCACTCTGGACGAGATGGCAGCGGTCACGGACATTTGTCTTCGTGTCCAACGCTGCGCCGTCCAGGCCACGGGCAAGGCAATGGGGATCATGGTGGTGCAGGAAAGAGCGAGATGGCTCAACCTCACCAACCTCCCAGACCAGGAAAAGGAGGATGTGCTGGATATGCCCATCGTTCCCGAGGGAATATTCGGCTCCGCTCTTGCTTCCATGCAAAGGAGGTGTGAGTCGAAAAAGAAGGAGGACGAGGCACTCCACCTCTGCCTCCCTCGAAGGGTCCAGCCGCTGCCTTCGCAGCAGCAGTCCTTCGCAGCAGCAGTCCTTCGCCCAAGCTGCCTCGAACCCTGCTCGGTTTAAAACACCGAAAACGCAGAGGTCGCAGCCCGCCCCGAGTCCCCAGCCCAGGCTGGAGACGAGGGCGAGCTGGCCTAGAAAATCTCCGGTTCCGGCTGCAGCTCAGGCGCAGCCAACCCAGAATTTCGGCCAGCAGTCGAGGAAGAAGAAGCGAGCGGCGTGACAGCCCCTCCTTCTCCCCTCTGTGACAGAGCTGGAAGTCCACGGTTCCCCAGCTCTAAATGTGTTCCCGCCGACTCGAGAGATGCCTCAACACCTGTTCAACTGTTCCCCTTCTGAGAGCAGCTACGACATCTCTCAAAAGGCGGATTACAGGCGGGTCTGTGAAGGCACCACCGTCACGCGCATGCGCAGTGCCGGCTGGGGCTTTAACGGCACCACCGCCACGCGCATGTGCAGTGCCGGCTGGGGTTGTGAAGGCACCACCGTCATGCGCATGCGCAGTGTCGGTGGGGATTGTCGAAAAGGGGCACCACTGTGTTCAGACACTAGAGGGCCCCATAACACAACAAATAGAGACTCAGAGGGGAAGAGACGTGACATCTCCACTGGCTCTAAGGAGCATGCAGTGGAAGATGCTCACATCATCTGCTTGGGTTTTCAAGACGGTAACACAGGGCTACAGACTCCAATTCGCTGTCACCCCCCCTCGCTTCTCGGGCATTCTGCATTCGCAGGCCCGAGGAGAGTCAGCCCATATTCTGGAGAGAGAGATTCTCTCTCTCCTAGAAAAGAGGGCTATATCTATTGTACCCGCCGAGCAGAGTCAGGGCGGCTTCTATTCCAAGTACTTCCTCGTTCCCAAACGGGGAGGGAACGGAATTCGGCCAATACTTGATTTGAGGGCTCTGAACAAATATCTAAAAATATATAAGTTCAGAATGCTCACTCACACATCTCTGCTGCGGCTCGTGCGACAAGACGACTGGTTTACATCAGTCGACCTGAAAGATACGTACATCCCAGTATATTACCCACACAGGAAATATCTGAG